ATACTTTTACATACGCTACAGCACACATGACATTAATTCAAATTAAGTCGACTGTTTAAAACTGTATTATGTTCGCTTCGTTGTTTTTTTTTTTTGTTTTACTTTTATTTCTATCTTTTTCATTTTTTTTATTTCTTTCTGTACATTTTTACCCGACTGCGGGAGGGTTACGTTTTTCAAGTGTAATATATGTATGTATGTCCATTTCTTTTTCAGGCTGTACAGCCTAAACGGTTTGATGGATTTTGACACAGGAGTCGTTAGGTTCGTCTTGGTTGTGGGAGTGTCATAGGCTACAAAAATAATCAAAATAGTGAGGGGAGGAATATTTTTTTATCTTTCCAGCTTTTTTTTATTTTCACAGTCGGGTTTTTGTTTTCATTTAAATAATTTTTAGATTTGTTGCGTAGTGGCATTGTAATAAATGAATTCTATTCTATTCTATATATGAGAACTAAAAATAGAACATTGGACTCACCTTCCCAGGCAAGGTGGTTTTACCATTCAAAGCCTTTTCCATCAAAATGCTGGCATACCCAACATTGTCTGATGATACAAGTCTATTAGTATTGTTCATGCTGGTTGGGTGGACTGCAAACCAGTTGATTACTCCTATGACGCGCTGGCTGATCAGTGATACAAACCGAATTTGGGCAAGAGTCTTGTCTGTATCGTGCTCGTATCTGGAAATATGAGTTAAGTAGTATAATGTTATTGTTAAATAAAATGATTCCTCATCTTTTTGTGGGTATCATAGAAAGTAAAGGCATAAAAGAGAAGGGCAACATCGTGAGTGGTCTGTTTGGTCAAGCACCGTGAAACCATGGAAGGTTCTTGTTAAAAATCAGTACCGTACAAACGTAATTGGCCCGGCCTAATTGGCTCGCCACACAATTGTACCCTAAACATAATAAGTTTATCTAAGTTCTTCTTTTCCTTATTCTTTTTAGTTTGATCTGTTTTTTAAAATATAATTATTTATTTCAGACCATGATCAATAATAATGTTAGTAATGCAGTAAATTTTTCTTAAGTGCTATGGTTAGTACAATACCAAATGACTTAATTCTACATGTGTAGTTGCACCCAATGTTGTTCACTGCATGTGTTGTGTGAAAAGAAAATTGTGTAAAATGGTTTAAAAAACTTCACAAAAATGCAGTCTTCACTCATTTTTAAACTATGTCAAAATTGTATAGCTTCTTGTGCTGTTGACCGTACATAGATATCGTTGACCTCACCAAACTTTTTCATTTCTAGTTTTTTTTTTCGCTCTAATTTTCAAAATGTAACCGTCAATAGCTTAGTGAGGAGTTTTAAATTAAGAAATAAAAATAAATTCCGAAAAAAGTTTTTATTTGACCTTATAGTTACGTATTTATCAAACCTCCTCGTATCTTTATTAAATGACTTCAAAAAAAAGGAAGAGGTTCTCAATTCGATGTTACGCGATAACTCCGGAATTTGTAAACAGATTTTGATGATCCTTTTTTTAATTAAATTTTTATTGAATTGATATTCAATTATTTTTTGTGAAATTACTCCACTAGTTTGTTATAATTATTAATACAAAGATCGAACACTCAGAAAAAATTCCTTCGATCCGTTCGGATTCGAACCGACGTCTTCTTGCATATCCTTTTTTTGTTGAAGGGTACCTCAGTGTTGGTCCCATTTAAGTTGGAAGGAAATATTCCACCTGTAAGGGTGACAAACTAGGGGATGAATCCGGTTTCGCGCACAATCCGGTAACCGATTTCAAAAGAACTTGGCAAATATATGTAATTTCAGGAACTTTTTAGGTCGGTTTTTTTTTATAAAAAGTTACAATTATGCATTTATTAGTTCAAATATAATTCATTCATTTATCTACAAGTAGAGGCGATGATGTCAGCTTTCAAATGCTCCGTATTTTTAAGTGATCTACTGGCAATCTCTCTCATGATGAAGTTATTCAACGTTATAAACCAAAACACATCTTTAAGTAAAAAGTTACCTTACCAACGCAAGAGCTTTGTTATTTGAAAACGTACTGATATTTTCACATAACAAAGCTTGCTTTGATACAAAGAGAACAGGCTGTACGAACGGGGAGTGCGAATAATTTTTTTCACTTTTGCTTCCATGCTGTACGATATGTTTATTTTGTTTAAAAATCACTGAGATAATTATGCAATAGCTAAACATGAGTTTATTAAAAACCAAAACCTAATCTCGTCTGTGACATTAGCTGAATTAAATTTTACTTAGAAATTGTATTTATTGTTTACAGCGTGTTATTAAAATGATAATTGTAATTTGCAAAAGCAGCAGACAATAAAGTCGAACGGTTACAGTTTTCTTTTATAATTGATCCTTTTTTTGACACATAAAATAAATTAAATCAATGCATATTTTAATGTGTTCGGAGCTAATGATTGATTTGTATAAATTAGCTTTGATAGTTTCATGTGATGGGCCTCAAAATTAAAACAAATTAGCGTTAAAAAACCTGAATTCATTGTCAGAAACGCAAGTAAATTAGCTTCTAATTTTGCTTTATCATATACTAACCTAGCATACTAAATGGGGGGTGCAACCAAGAGTTGACCTATATGGAAAAGAGGATCAAATATTATTTTTGCCTATCAAATACTAATTTAGTATGTTGTTAATCTTAAACATAATGATGATACCTTGAACGCAGTTCATTTATAATTTATCCGTAGATCAGCTAATGTAGACGGAACAGTTAATATATTCAATTCAATTCAATTCAATTCAATTCTTTATTGCATTTACCATAATGTTACGTAGATGGGATAGTAAGAGGCTTATATCTAAGTTAACATCGCATTATGGACCCTGTATAGGGCACTGCAAATTATAAATTATAATTAAAGATATAATTAATGAGAGAGGAGGTTTTACTTTTACAGTAGTCTTTTTTGCAATAGATTTATGTTTTGTCTTATGTTTACATAATGTTCAAACAAAAAATATTACGAATGATGAAATTGGAAAATATAATATTGTCTTTATATTATTTATTATTTATTTTTTTAGAAAATATGTGAAATGTGTTTTTATCAATTGAGCAGTATTTATTTTGTTTCTATTAATTTATAATTTATATCAAGATCACTTTATTTAATTAATTAATTTATTTATATATTTGTGTTATCTGTACTTTTAGTAGTTTTAGGTCGGAAATGTGTCGTTGAAATATTCTTGCAAGGAGTAATAAGCTTTTATTAATAATAGGTCTTTTAGTTTTTTAATAAAGATTTTTCATTGGTTTCGTCCTTGAAGGGATTTGGTAGTTTATTAAATATTTTTACGCACATTACTAAGGGGCTCGTTGAGTGTAAAGTAAGTCGGGAAGTAGGCAACATTAATCTATTATTATGTCGTAATGCGAATCCACTTGGTACATCTTTACGTTTTATGAAGTATTCTGGGTGTTTTTTTTACGAATTTACATATTTCAAATATGTATAGGCTAGGTAATGTTAAAGTTTTGAGGTTTTGAAAGAAAGGTTTACAACTGTCTGTTGGTTGGATATTTACTATTATTCTAATTAGTTTCTTTTGCAGGGTTAACAAAGCTGGGACATCAACACTATTTCCCCACAGTACAACGCCATAAGATAACCAAGAGTATGCGTACGCGTAATAAGTCGCCATTGTAGTTTGCTCATCCGTGGACTTTTTAATCTCACGGAGAGCATAGGCAAACTTTGATATGATGCTTCCAATTCAAATGACTATCTATTTTTAGGCCAAGCAGTGAATAGTCGTTTACAACTTCTAATTTAGTATTTTTGTGAGTTATATCAATTTTTAAAGGCTGTTTTTGATGGGGACGGAATTGCATAATTTTTGTTTTTTTTAAATTTAGTTTAAGATTGTGGTAATTCATCCAACATGTTATTTTCTTAAGTACTGAGTTTACTTTATCATCTACATTAGTGTTACTATTACAAGATATAAGTACCGATATGTCGTCAGCAAACACAACACAATGATCTTCTATAATCTTGGGTAAGTCGTTGATGTATAACAGAAACATAAGGCATCCAATCACACTCCCTTGTGGAATAGATGCATTTATTATTTTGCTGTCAGAGCGAAAGTTTACTATCTCTTTTGTTGTATTTTTATATCCTTCGACTTCAATTTCAACAAATTGTTCCCTATCCTTAAGATACGATGCAATCCAGTTATAGGTTAAACCGCGTATTCCTATTTCTTGTAATTTACCCAGTAATATGTCGTGTTGGACCCTATCGTAGGCCTTTGACATGTCTAATAGTAGGCCAACTGCATACTTTCTATCATTAATCAAATTAAGCGCTTCCTGGACATATTTGTAGACTGCTAGAACTGTTGAGCGTTTTTTCCTGAAGCCGTACTGACCGTTATCAAAGATGTTGTATTTCTCACAGTATTTGTATATTCGATCACACATTGCTTTTTCGAAGAGCTTTGACGATGTTGGTAAAAGCGCTATTGGTCGGTAATTGTTTGGATTTGTTTTATCTTCCTTTTTGTGAATTGGCTTTATTATAGTCTTTTTTAATAGATCCGGAAAAACGCCTTCATCAAAAGATTGGTTTATGAGTAGCGTGTACGGTAGAGCTAACTCATCCGCGCACACTTTTATTAGTGATGGTGGAAGCTCATCTATACCGTAACTATTTTTGTTTTTCAGTATTTTTATGTTTTTGTGAACTTCGTTTTGATCAACAGGGCAAAGAAACATCGAATTTACGCAAGAGGGCAACACAGGCGCACGTTTAATACACTGAGGGTTGCGCTCCTCACCAATTGACGCAAAAAAATTATTGAACGCGTTAGATACTTGTTTTGGGTCTGAAATTTCTGTGTTATTTATATTTAATTTTATGGGCATTTTTTCAATTGGTTTCTTTTTATTTGTATTTTCATTGATAATTTTCCACATGGTTTTTATTGTGTTTGTTGAATTTTTTATTCTTTTTTTGTTATTTAATTTTTTTGCAAATATCACAATCTTTTTTAAAATTTTTTCATACTTTTTATAGTAGGCCGAAAGCACAGTGTTTTTAAATTTTTGTGTAATTATTTTTAATAATCTTTTATTACGGCAACATGTCTTAATACCTACCGTTAACCATTTGTTTTTTAGCTTTGTTTGTAGTTTTAGTCTAAGTTTGGGCACATTTACATTAAGTGTATTTATTAGTATTCTCTGAAAGACGTGGTAATTTTCATTTACATTTTTAGTTTGGGACAACGTTTTGCTCCAGTCTATTTTGGAAAGACTTGATTTAAAGGAATCAATATTTTTATTATTATATAATCGTTTATATATATATCGCACAGGCGTCATTAAACATTGTTTTAATTGCAGGTGCACTACCGTACCAGCATGATCAGAGAATCCTAATTCTTCCACAGAAACAGTTAGATTATAATCATTAAAGTTAGTGAAAATCAAATCTATGCAAGTTGATGTTGATTTAGTAATACGCGTTGGGTTTTTTATACGCTGGATAAAACCTCTCTCGGACATAAGGCTTAATAGGCAATTTCTATTTGGACTATTTGTAAACAAATCAATATTGAAATCGCCTCCTATAATTATGTTATTTTTGGAATATTTTTTTGTTATGTATAGTAACATTTTCTCTAATTGTTTGAAAAATAGTTCTTCGTCTCTTTTGTTCCAATACATATTGACAAGCAAAATTTTATGTTTCCTCAATTCGGTTGCACAGGCTTCCAAAACATACTCCACCGACATGTCCGCTATCTCCTTCAACTCTATACTTTCTATTTCTTCGTGTAGGAGTATGCAAACCCCACCGCCCCCTCTATGTTTTCTACAGAATGATGCCGCCACTTCAAAATTACAACATTTTATTAAATCTAATTTCTCCTGTGTAAGCCATGACTCGGAAATGCATACTGCTCTGAACTGCTGATTTTGTTCTAAGAAAGCTTCCAGTAGATGTTGTTTGTTGTATAAGCTTTGGAAGTTCTGATGAAGTATCTTAAAGTGTTGTATGTTGTCTATAGTAGCGAAAGGAACTTCCTATGGTATTATTTATTTCATTTTTATGGTCGTCGTATTTATATTTGTTGTATGCTCTATTTTTAGGCTCGGAGTATGTGTAAGTAATATTTTTATCCGTATTATTGTTGTTCAATTGTATTCGTTTCCCTTGTATGTATAGTTGATTATCTCGTATCGTTGCGTGGAGGCCGGTTTTTCGTGCTTTTATCATTTCTTCCCTTAATAGTCTTCTTTCATTTCGCTTCTTTTCGTCTAAAAGTGGAGATATAGCTATTCCCGTACCCTGGAAGTGGTGGCTGTTATCCAATAGGTATTTTACCATTCTCTTGCTTATCAGCTCTACTATTAGCGGCCTATTTTTATTCTGATATTTTCCTATCCTGCGGGTTTCCTCTATATATCCCATTAGGTCTAAATTTAAAGTACTATGAAATATATCAATGATTCTCATATGTAGATCGTACTCTGGTTCCTTATAAAATTCTTCCATTCCATATATTACTATTTTCTTTGTATTTTCTTCCGTATTACTTATAGTAGTTTCAGAAGGTGTTTGTTTATGTCCTATCTCTGCAATTTCTTTTTTCAGTATTCCGTTTTCTTTTTTTATAATCTCAATTTCTTCTTTAAGCTTCTCTATTTCTGTTTTATTTTCGATATTTAGCTGTTTTAAATTATCGGTTTCTTGTTTCCAGTGTTGCTTAAATTGTGTAATAGCCCTATTGATTTCTGTTTGGATGGTACTCTGTAGTTGGATTATCACTGATGTGTTATTTTCTTTCAGTTTCTCAGTAATCAGATGGCTTAGGGTTTGGAGTGTAGGTTCTGTTTGCGGTTCTGTTTTAGAGGATATTGTTTGGCAGATCGTATCACCCAATATACTTAAGTCGTCTGAACTTGTGGATTCGTCACGCTTTGAAATTTCAAGTGTTGTATTCTTTCTACGCATTGTTACATTATCTCTTTGCACTTCTTTAGGGCAATCTGTTTTGTGCTCTAGCATGCGAACTGGAGTATTTGTATTTCCTTTTTTTGGCTGTTTACAGACACAAGATGGACATTTCCATTTTGTCTTATGGTCAGCGGTCATTGTATTATAAAAACGTGCGCTAGAGACATTTGCGCAAACCAAATCATATATAGAACCACACAATGAGCATGTTAGGAATTCTCGGCCAGTTGGAGACTTTAAGCACCCCGCACATATCGGCGCCATATTGTGATGTTATATGATAATACAATTATAATATTATATGATGATATTAAATGATGTGTTAGATATATTTATTGTAATTAAATAATAATCAGTTCCACGCCACCTATCCTATATTCAGTGTAACTGTTACAGATCTATAAGTGGTTACTGAGTAGACTCATCAATAATTACGTTGCTTCGTGCTTCTTGTTGTAATTATGATATTTCACAATAGATGTCGCTATTCTCGGTATTTGTATAATGATTGATGCCTGTTTTGAAGATGATTAATCAATTTATTGGTTATGTTATTATCAAATATAATTTAGCGTGTAAGTACATACAGTTTTATCTTCACAATAGGTTGCACAACTATGTTTCTGAAAAGGGGTTCAGATTTTCTTTCCTATTTCTTAACTTGCTTAATCTTCAGTATTTCTGCGCGATGTTGTTTTTGAGAATATCACTTCTTTTTCAAGATTTTTCTTCTTGACTTTAATTGCACAAGTGAGTTGATTTTTGGTGCACAAGACGATCACGTATTCATTAACTTTGGATCAATCACAGTATTTTTAAAGCACAATTGTTGCGGAGACGATATAAAACTCACTCAGTGCTACCCTCTCAGTTTTTCAACTCAAATATAAATATCAGACATAAAAAAAATATCGTATATTTAAAAAAGTGCACATTTACAATAGATCAATTATATCCTTCAGGATCAAATATTATTTAAAATTATTGTTTCGTTATTTTTAAAACTAACTCGATGGATATGCCAACTGGGTAAAGTTTAAATTATATGAACAATCCAGAATGTGTTATATCTTTTTAATTCAGAAACTACGACCAATCATTATCAATTTTACACACCTTTTAACATTATATAAGTAAGTGTGAGTTTTGGTGTCAGAAGTTCTGATAATAGTCTAGACTCAAAACTCTTCCATTGTTTTTTTTTTCTTCCGTGGTTACGATGAGCTAAAGGTTGGTGACTATAATGACTTATTAGAGTACAAATTTGTATTAGGGTTTTTTGAACTTCAATTGATTTTTTTTTATTGTGGTGTTGCAATAAAAGCTGTGTAATTACATTTTTACGCGTTCGCCATATTACAATTCACAATTTAAAACTTTTGAACCTAAAATTTAAGTGACCCCTCCTACGTAAAGTATCGTATGTCGAAATTGCCAAGTTTACAGAGGAGCCTTTTAAAGTTCTATATTCACAGAAATAAGCACAACACGTGAATTTAGCATTTCTCAGTTTTATTCTGCAAAGCTCGTTACTCACATAGAATATTATAAAATCCTAGATGTCGGTTAGATGATCTATTAGATGATCACTCTATTTGAGTAACGAGCTTTGACGAATAAAACGGAGAACTTTAAAACTCATAAAGGAGGACTTTTGGCCGAAGGGTATCATGTTCCGGCGTTTCCGAGGACGGCTATCGGACACCCACGTTGCGTCACATGTCGCGGTCCTTACGTGTAAATAAATAAATTGTTTTTATCATATTGTTATGTATGTTAGTCAATAAGGTATTTTTATGGGTCTTTTGTAACCTGAAAATAAATAAATAAATAAAAATAAACCGCTCCCCTGTAAATTTGGCAATTTCGTCATACGATACTTTACGTAGGAGGGGTCGAAGTGTTAGGGTGCGTTCCCACTATCTCGTCACGTTTTATTATCGTTGGACGACTGTCGTGTCTAGCCTGTTCCCATATCACGACTATCTATCGTGGACGATTTTTTATCGTTGAACGACTGTCCCACTATCTCGTCACGTTTTATTATCGTTGGACGACTGTCGTGTCTAGCCTGTTCCCATATCACGACTATCTATCGTGGACGATTTTTTATCGTTGAACGACTGTCGTGACTAGCTGTTCCCTAGTGGGAACAGTGATCGTGACGACAATTTATCGTTTCACGACAGCCTCCTTGCCTATCACTGGCTACGACTTAACGCTACTGCAAAGCGAGCAGAGGGCGCGAGGTATGAGAGGAGAGGGCAGGGAGCAGAATACGTGCGGACAGCGATAAATAAAACGCGACGACAATAGGAGCTGCGACAATCTGTCGTCACGTTTTTAACGTGATGTTTTTTTATCGTCAGACGACTGTCGTTCTATCTGTTCCCACTGTGACGATAGTTTGTCGTTGTAACGATAAAAAATCGTGAACGACAGTTAATCGTGTCGTGCTATATGTGAACAACTTCATTTAAATATACAAGTCACGACACTGTAAACTGCACGACAGTCTGTCGTCACGACATAGTGGGAACGCGCCCTTAGTTCAAATTGTTAAAGTGATAAACAATCTTATGCTAAGGCCTTTGGAGTATCGCATTGCAGCTTTTATATGACTCACCTAGCTCTTTCTTCAGGTGGATTCCGAAGATACGAGGTTGGTGATCTGTTGATATTGGCATCTAGTATCTCTGTTTCGCCATACAGTATTTTAGCAGGCACCAGGCCATTGTGGGCCAGTACTATACTCTAGAAAATAGAAACAAACATTTCAATAAGAACTCGTAAACTTGTTGCGTAAAGTTGACGATCTTGCTGTCCCAGAGCGATTAGAACTGTGGGCGCTAGTTTCAAAGGTCCCGCGTACGATTCTTGGCAGGATCAATTTGGGAAACGAAATTAACTAAATTGCTTCTGGTCTGGGTGTTCCCCGTACCACTTACCACAAATTTTGAAAATTTCCAATCAGTGTGTTCTACCCACAGATATAGGGTTCTAACCGTTATGATCGTATATGGCGTTTTTTGATCTCGTACTAATAAAAGGAATTCCTTAGACTGGTTTCGGTGGTTACGTTCCGTACGGACTGTCCGCCTGCGGGCCACCTGCATGCGTAGAATCCGCAGTGCTCTGAATCGAGTATTTAAACTAGTGCAGACATTCACGCAAGACAGTCGCTTACAATGAACGCACGGGTGGTTTGTGCGGAGTTCACGCGGAGCGTGTTCGGTACGGAGCAATCCGCGTCAGTGTAAAACGAAGTCCGAACGCCACACGTGTTACTCTGCTCCGGTGCTCCGCGCGGACGGTAACCAAATAAACCTGTTCCGCTCTGAATCCAGCCTTAGTTCGAGACTACGTAATTGGTAGATGTCTGGCACATTATTATTAGTAATAACTTTTACTCACCCTAACAATCCCACCAACGTAGGCATTGTAAGTCTCCCTGACGAAGCCGAGGATTGGAAGATCGAAGAGGAAGTGCATGAGGAATCCGCCGGGAGTGGAATGAGAGTGCGTGCCACTGATTATCACGTTGTCCTCGTTGTAGAGCGAGCCGAAACGCTTGTGTAAGATGCGTATTACCTGGAGTGTTTGGAAAACGATTAATTGCTTAGTTGTAGCTCTGCATAGTATGAGATATACTTAGTAGATATAGAAATGAGACTCTACTAACGAAGACAAAACCACGTCCTTTCTCGTCAAAGATGTTATCCGCAATAGCGGGCGCCCAACAGCGTTCCATTCTTATTCTTTTTTTATTTCTTATTTCGATGAAAAAATATTCTTAATGAAACAAATTAATTCGAGGACCTAAATCGCTTCCTGAACTGTGTTGTAAATCTCAAGTCCGGGAGTCTACGTTTATAAAATCGACTCAGTTTTGCATGGCTCGGTGGCCTAACACTCACGAGTCCGAGTCAAGTCGAGCGCTAGTCATCAAAACACGGACTCGAGTCTAAAAAGAGCTCGAGTCGTAAACCTAACACGTATTTGGAACAGAACTCATGAATTTACATCAATTTTCATAATCTGCCACGGGAAGTGAATAATTCGTTTTTTATTGATTCTGAAAAAAAAAAACTTTTTGAATTAATACACTACATTAATTAAATTTTTATTGAATTGATATTCAATTATTTTTTGTGAAATTACTCCACTAGTTTGTTATAATTATTAATACAAAGATCGAACACTAAGAAAAAACACTCAGAAAAAATTCCTTCCGTTTTCCGATCCGACCGGATCGAAGGAATTTTTTCTGAGTGTTTTTTTCTGAGTGTTCGATATTTGTATTAATAATTATAATACACTACATTCAGTAGCAGTAGAGGTCCTTGTGAAAGAGTTCATCCAGGATAGTACTGCCACCTTACCTATTTCTGCCGCCAAGCAATAATGTGAGCGTTGCTGCATTCCGGTTTGGAAGAGTAAGGATGCTGGTGAAATACAGGCACTTGGGACTTGTCAACTTATGTCTCAGGGTGTCAGGCGCAGTGACAGTACCCATAAGATCTTTGCGATTTAAAGCTCTGAATGGCACTGTAACTGTTGTGGATAGGCGTGTCGCTTACCACCAGGCGCACGACTTGTTCGTCCCGTCACTTGATATTATAAAAAAAATATTTTGCAGTAAAATTAGGTATCTTTATTTAAATCATACTGTGAATCGTTTTACTGTAGCGGCCTGTGGTCTAGGTATAACCAAAAGGCTTTCAACGAGGTACGCGTGTATATTCAGGGTGCTCTTGGGGCTGTGACGATACTACAGGACGTCTAATATGTTTACGGACGCACACTGTGACTGTTATATGCACTAATGCGTAAAAAACTATGTTAGTAAAACGCAGCATGCTGGGGAGCCCCAACAGCATTCATGAAACCGTGTTTCGCTTTAGATTCACAATATATTTGGCGAACTATAGCCTAAATCTTGGGCCTGAACGCACTAAAAACATTTTGCAATAAAACAATATACCTGCAGGCGAAATGAACTTACGGTTATTTTGTTATCAATAGAGTTTTGTTGCAGTAAGTATATATTTTTACTGCCTCCGTGACCGAACGTTTACGAACGGGTACGGGTCGGGAGAAAAATTTGTATGGCCTACATTTATTTTTCTCGTACGTTTGGGTGTAATTTGTGATTGTCTATGTGTGTGTCCATGGCACCCGTAATACAGGGTTTCCTTAGTGCGGGGCTATGAATGTGTGCGTTGTTGTTTATGTTGTTGCATGCTGTATAATTAGTTATTTGATTTCTAATGCTTATTGGTACAAGCAATAACTATCAGATCTAAAGAAATTGATTGTCGATTCGATTTGGGTACAATCAATAAAATAACGCATAATGGCAACTCTAAAAGATACAGGTGGGGTTGTTCGAAAACAAAAAGAAAAAGACTTAAGTAAATTAACGGGCCAAAAGCTATTTTTCTGAAAAGATATATGTTTTTATGGGTTTTAAGGTTGTTATACACCGGATTACAATTAATGTAAGTTACAGGTCTATTAAATGATTATCACTAATTACAGGTTCTTACCACGATATGATTTCTTTTTATTTTCCCGATATTTCGGAACGTGAATGACAATAGTAACGCCACAAGCAATTGCTTGTCGTTGACAGGGAAAGAGGGTAGACAGATAGCCTCTGTCGCTGCATGACTGTTCTTAAAGCTGTCATCTGCCGCTGGCCAGTCAACCCGTGACCATGGAGCGTGTAACCGTTCAGAAATATCGGGAAAATAAAATTAAATCATATCGCGGTAAGAACCTGTAATTAGTGATAATTATTTAGTGAGTAACAACGAAAGCCTTAAACTCTACATTGCAGGTCTATTGTTTCGTTTTAACATTACATGCTTATACTTATAATATATATTTTTTATGATATCTAATGACGGTACGAACAAGTCGTTTACCTGGTGGTAAGCGACACGCCTGCCGGTCCACGGAAGTTGCAGTGCCACTCAGAGCTGTAAATTGCAAAGATTTGAGGGGCACTGCTACCACGCTCGTCACCCTGAGTCACCGGCATCCTTACCCTTCCAAACCAGAACGCAGTAAATGCTCGCATTACTGCTTGGCGGCAGAAATAGGTAAGGTGGCAGTACTTTTCCGGACGAATATAATATTATAACAGTATTGTAGAGGCACAAATCGATGCTGATGTATACAAACTGTATTTTATTTAAGTTATGCAGATAGATCCAGTGAGGAACGGTGTTCTCAAATTCATGTCATGGTCAGTACCTATGGCTTTAATTTCTTTAAAGCTTTGAGTTACGTTTATTTGTGTTTTTATTAGCTCTCGCTAACGGTAAATTGAAGAGCAGCTGTTTAAAATCCTTGCTTATTAGAACTGATCGAGTTCTGAGATTTTCGCAATTGTTACACATAGGAAATGAAACTATTTTTCCGGATTAAACTCGCGTATATTTGTTTTTCAAAACAAACTAACGTTTCGGGCCCTTTACATGCCCCCTGGTCACGGTTGACTGTAAAGGGCCCGAAACTATGCGTGAGTTAGATCCGGAAAAAAGTTTCATTTCTTATTAGAAGTTGTTTGTTAATCACATAATATGTGTATGGGTTTATGTCCCTCACCTCTTTCCTAACACCATGCCCCATCATGCCAGCATCCACAGAAACGAACACTATCCTGCGGTTGTTCTCTTCGTCTTCTATAACAAAAGCTCTCGCAAATTGTCGCAAATGGATGCCGTGTCCGGTTTGCTCCAGTTTCGCGTAGCCCATCTGGAATTTCAAAATTCATATTTAAGAATTTGTACGTCATAGTTTTTAGTATTAGTTTATGTAGAAATTGTCATAGTACAACTTCTAGTGAACTCCAACTTAGAATAGAATAGAATAGAAAAACATTTATTCATCGGTACATACAACACAATAACCAAAAATAGAAACACAATTACAAAAACAAGCAAAATAAAATACAGGAGGAAAATGTGAAAACCTAAAATTAAATAATAAGCTTATATATACAATGTGTTGTATGAAATGATGAAAAGGCCACGACTCAGCTTAATGCCAGTCAGGAGACTGGCGCTGTTCTTCCGTCGTATCCTTACGCATTCATGCGTCGACCGGGTCCCAAAATTAAATTCTACACAAGTAAATAAATGAGATTAAATGAATTATGTCACTACTAACATATATTATAATATATATTAGAATAAATAAGTGCAGTAAAAAATTACAAAGATAGCTAACCTTTATTGAGAATTTTCACAGTATTAGGTGTGATATTGTGTGTCTAGTGCAAAAGAAGCATAACTTAAAAGTACAGCGCAAGTGAGTACCTTCCACTACCAGGGCTGTTTTGGGTGTCCAACAATATAACTTTAAGATGTCTTTTAAAAATTTTCTTGGACAATGGATGTTTGAGTAGGGGTGGAAGATTATTCCAGCATTTACTAGCCTGGTAGCGGAAACTTCCCTCAAAAGCTCTAGTTTTATGAAAGGGTGTGACAAGTATAAAACTATTTATCCGCCTCGAATTGTATGTGTATGCAGCCCAATGCAACTTATTGTACAAGTAACTAGGATGCTTGAACTTGACGATTTCGTGTATCAAACTCGCAAGATCGCTTACAGTCGCTCATCAGATCTGCTTTGTTTATTTGAAGGTGCGTAATATAATTGTAAACAATAAAAATAAAGTATTTTGCATTGCGTCCGGAACCATCTAAAGGAGGCTTCCCACGGCCTGTGAGATCACAGGCCGCGCCACTCTAGCTCACGCCATTGCGCCGGCGCCGCCGTAGAAGCCATATACATAGCCGTGCCACCCGTGCTGGCGCTCCTCGCCAATAATGGCCCGTAGGATCCGCTAGGTGTCGGTAACTTTAAAGGAATAGAGCGAGAGCATGACAGGTCAAACCAGACTAGAAATCGCGACACACACCCGAGCGAAACCGTGGAAATCACAGCCGTGGAAAGCCACCTTGTGCCATCTACAGAATGCGTCGCAAATTTAGACTACCTGGTAATACTTAAATAAGTTTAGAAAAAGAATACATTTTTAGAATACAAATTTAATGTGATCCCAATTGGATTTGCGGAAAAACATAGCTGATACCTATTTGTTGCTGAACATATCGTAACTACCCTTACGTCGAATACATCATAACAAACGACAATCTAATGTAATGGTGGGTATCTATTACGTTCGTGCTCCATTAGTGGCTACGTTCCCATGCAACGTTCCACGCTCCGCGGTGAGCGCGGTTTTTGCGCGAACTCAAAACGGAGCGCATTTTTCGTGGAGGCGAGCAAGCAATACGTTTTCGGGTGTCACACTCCGCGCTCCGGTAAGATTTGTTAAGTTACCGCAAATTCATCGCTATGAAGTGGTCTGAAGATAAATATTTAGCTCGTGAATTATATAATCAATTAAAATACATGCCGCAGTCTAGCTACTAATTCTGGGGACCACATCTTCGCTCAAAGTTCAAATGAAAACTGTGGGTGAAGTAGTTGATGCACGAACCTAAAGGACTACTCGGTTTCTTGTCGTGATGAGAGTAACGTTTCCATTAGAGTGGTTGCAGATGCGCGGTCGCACTCACCTTAACGTTGCAAAGCAGTATTTAAATTAACTTGGTTAATCAGCCACGGGTTAAACTATGCAAACTGTGCCTTTTTAAACTGGAAATTAGGACGGTATGAGTTTTTTAAGATCTCGAGCGACTCGACGCGTGACTAACAAATCGTGCATCTGGTGGTAAGTGACACGCCTACCCAAAAGAGGGATTACAAATCTGGTGAATGGGCCGCGAATGCACGTGTTTGCGTAAAGCTTGCGAGCTGCATACTTACTTAATGCGTGGTGCGATCGAATGACATTTCAGAATGCAACGTGCGCCAGATCTGTACGCACCCTAACAGTTAGAGTGCCACTCAGAGCTTTAAACCGCAAATATCAGAGCACAGCCACTGCAATGCACATAAAGTACACAAGTCCATATACCCGTAATTTTACCCTTACCCTTCAAAACCGCGACGCTCAGATTATACTGCTTGGCTGTAGAAATAGGTATGGTTTCCTGGAGGACTCTTTCACATGGAGCTCTACTACTATAAAATAATGACTTAATGCACAATTTGAAACATTGTTTATCATTATACAGGACGGCCGGGATAGTGACGGCCAAAAAAAATGTAGGTGCCTCACATTTAGGGGTATCCGAATCACCCCCTGTATGTTCCGCGATTTTTCGTAATTTTCAACCGTATCGGCTCAGTGTTTTTTTTTTCAATTTGTACATCAATGTTTCGGGTTTTTTTGTGACTCAATCCTTATGAATTGTACTTTAACGCACAAAAGAATCGGGTTCGCAACATCAATAGAAGCTACGGAAGTTTTGGCTCAAAATGGAAAATTTTTTTTGGACGTCACTATCCCGGCCATCCTGTGTATGCTCCACCGTGACTTAAAGTAGATAAGAATTAACGGTTATTTTTAATCAAATGATTATGATTTTTTTTTTTTCTCAACACAAGAACTTAAACTAATATAAATTTCATTAGACTAA